ATCGATATAGCCAGCAAAGAGGCTGATGAATGGTTTAAGGCCAATGAGGTGATACTAACTGAGCCGCCAAGACAGGAGTCCCTCCTCTCGCATTTGACCACGGCAGTGTTCACATGCTACGTGGACGGATCTTGGAAGGACGGAGATTCCAGGAGTGGGGTAGGTTGGGTACTGCAACTACAAGATGGGGAGCCTGACCTTCTAGGAGCAAAAGGGTTGCACAACTGCCTGTCATCGTTACACAGAGAGATGCAGAGTCTTTTGTGGGCCGTGGAAAGCTTGAGGAACGAGAACCGCTACTGTGGTGCGTTCGTCACAGATTCACATGAGCTGGTAGCGATGGTGACAGATCCAAGCAGATGGCCTCAGTTCCAAATCGAGCTTGATGAATTGAAGACTTTACGCAAGATATTTACAGACTTTACTCTAACATATTGTCCTCGGGGGATGAATAAAAAAGCGAACCTATTGGCTAGGAACGCTCGTGTAAAGAAGGTAGTTTTTTATAAAATCAGCATTTCGTTTCCTGGCTGATTATCTGATTCTGTAATCTTCTAACCGGCTGATTTTGAACTGTGTTCGTGATAAAAAAAAATGTCAAAATATCAATTTGGATTTTTTTTTTCATTTTAAAATATAAAATTTGTTTTTTTTTACCATTTTTTGTTTTGGGGGTTTCTTCATTTCGCCAAGTCCGCCAAAAAGCGAAGAGAAGGGTTTTACAGACGAATCAAAGCCAAAAACTCTTTCTTTCTTCCCAACAAATCTCGAATTTTTTTTTGTTCTTCTCCCAAATTTTAAATTAACCCAGAAATTCACTGAACAATGGTTGAAGAAGCAGCTTCAGCATCGGAAGCTTCGGTGATAGAAGTCGTACAAACCCTAACCGACCCTGTGACGGAGACAGCGCAAACCCTAGAACCTAATCAAGCCTCAATCGAAGCCACCGTCGAATCAATTGTTCAAGGAGGCACTGAATCAACCTGTAACAACGATGCTAATAACAACAACGCAGCCGATAGTGCTGTGACTCTTGTCTCCGACGAGGAGCGTGAGAAGACCCTTGAGTTCGCTGATGAATTGACGGAGAAAGGATCTGTCTTTTTGAAAGAGAATGATTTCGCTGAAGCTGTTGATTGCTTTAGCCGTGCCCTCGAGATCAGGTTTCCATTTCGCATTTCTCTTAAAGATGAAATTTTGATAGAACCCCAATCATGGGTTTAGGGTTTCGAATGTTTCTGATTTGGGGTTTTAGTGTCAATTGTGTTGGAGCTAATGGAATTTTCCTTTGTACGGGTTTAGGGTTTCAAATGTTTCTGAATTGGGGTTTTAGTGTCAATTGTGTTGGATCTAATGGAATTTTCCTCTGTATGGGTTTTAGGGTTGCACACTATGGTGAACTTGCTGCTGAGTGCATAAACGCATACTTTCGATATGGATCAGCTCTTTTGGAAAAGGCTCAAGCTGAAGCTGATCCACTTGGTAACATGCCTAAGAAAGAAGGTGAAACTCAGCAAGAGTCCAGCAATAAAGATGTTGCTGCAAACGGTGAATCTTTCGCTGCGGCTGTTGTTTCCAGTAACTCAGAGAGACAAGGGAGTTCAAGTGGGCAAGAAGGTACTGTCACCTATATAGAATTTCACCCTTAAAGTTATGGACTGAGATGCAATGGGTGTTTCTTGGTGTGTGTGTCACATATATACCCTTTGGTTGATGATGCAAATGAGTCATTTTATTATCCATGACAGTGTCTTGTTTCTCTCAAACCTGTGTATAAATTGGATTGTGTCCTTGAATGTTTATGAGCATTGGTGTCTCTTTTTAAGGTTCTGGTGCTAAAGACATAGGA